TGTTCTTGTGTTTCAATGCTTTTAGAAATTAATTAATGTTTGGTTCTTTTGTCTTTCTGATATATCTTTATTGTTAGAAAGAGATGTTAGTAAAAACTCTTTCCAGTAATTAAAGTAATATCATGACAAATAGTTCTGAAATTCTATGGATGAACTTGCAGCAGTAATTTAATGATTATGATAACAGTTTAAATGATTCTTGGGTGAGGTCAGAAGTGATGGGTTGTTTCAAACCATGACTTTTTGCAGTTTTTTTTTATTGTTTTTTGATTAAGTATTTAATAATAACTTAGCCTAAGTTAATCTACTTGTAACTTTTTATAAATGTACTATAAAAATAATGTGATTTAATTATTTTCTTAAACCTTTAGGTTAACAAACTTTCTAAAATTGGAGGTAAAACCATTAAGACAAATACAAATAAATGTGATGCAAAGGTTTGTTAAAAGTAGTTTTAAATAAAAAATCTTTTGAATCATTTTATTATAGTTTGTTTTAAACTTGTGTTAAAAATATGTGTAGCATATATTTTTTAAAAGTTTTACGAATTCTAATCAGACATAAAATAAATCTTTTTTTTTTATGTCTGATTATAATTTTTTTTGTAACTGTTTTCTCTTACTTTTGTATTTCCTTGAGCTAAAGAACAACCTTAAAGTACAAAGGTTGATTTGTAACGCATACTTAACCTTTTTTTTTACTCTATATATACATACACATATATGTACATAAATAAACATACATATATATTTATGTATATATACATACATATGCTTATATGAATATATTATATGTATATATATATATATATATATATATATATATATATATATATATATATATATATATAATATATATATATATATATATATATATATATATATATATATATATATAAAATAATGGTGCAATTTAAAGTTTTTTCTTTTTTTTATAAAGTTGTACTTGATAAAAATAAATAAATAAAGTTGAACATTTTGAATATTTATTGATTATTATGATAAATTATATAAAATATAGATAAAGTATAAATATTTTGCAAAAACACTTTTGTTTGCAATAACTGCTTCATTGCATTGTGGCATGCTTGCAATTTATTTTTTATAGTTTCTGTCAACTCTGGGTTATTATGCTAGATCTTGATAATCTCTTCCATAAGATCTTGCTTATTAGTAAGATTTTTTTTTCTAATCTCTTGCTTTACTATTTCCCAAATGTTTTCTATGGGGTTAAGATCATGCAAGTTGTCTGGCTATAGCAATACACCACTAAGCCATAACAGTTTTTATTGTGTAGCAAGTTGCACCATCTTGCATAAATATAAGATTTTTGACATTATTTTTAATATTTTTAAATTTTTTTGTCAATTTTTGACTTTTTTGGCTGGACATCAATCCCTCTTCTTTAAGCCTTCTACTAATGGTCCGGTCTGACACAACAATTACAGCTTCATGGATAAGCTTAGTGGCTTTTTTTCTCTTTTCCAGGCAGATATTTCTGATTATACTGTCCGCTCTTGGTGTTTTCTTGCGTTTAGAAGGTGGTCTCCTTGGACCTAACTCTTCCCCTGTATCAATTCTTTTTCTTACTTGCATTATGGTTTGGTAAGAAACCTTTGCGGTTTGTGCAATTTTTCATTAAGAAAAATTTGTATTTTGTAAAAGACATGTTTATCAATTTTTAATGTAACTATAATAATAATAACAATGTATAATGCAGGTTGTTAACCAATGGTTTATAATCAAAATTTAATATGGCTGGCGGTAAAGGTAAAGAGAAGTTTAAAGGAAGAAACATTAGGTATTTACTTGTAAGTTAAGTGTAAAATTATATATTTTTTAAAAATCACAGTTCGTTTTTTTAATGCTTATTTATTTTTCTAACTTTTTGATGTATTTGATGTAAATTACTCAGGCAATACCTTTTTTATAGAGAGCGTTTTGTCAATTAAAGTGACTGCTACAGTTGCCGAAATAAGAAAAGGAATAATGACTTTATTAAAATACGCACTCGACAGATCAAATGGTGGTGGTCGGCGCGTAAAAGGCGATTCACCCGAAGTATAATATTCATACTTTTTCCTAGTTGAAGTCCGTTGAAGCCATTTAGTTGTATCTGATTAATTTACGTGAAATGTAATATCCTCTGCTTTTTTATTGTGTTATTTTATTGCAATTAAAGTTGAGATAATTTTTTAGTCAATTGGATTTAACCAAAATAAAAAACAAAAATCAACGTTGAATTTACGCTGTTTTAACGTTGTTCTAACGTCTTATCAACTACGTATCAATCGAATATATCACCTATTCAAAGTTGAAATATGGTTGATATATAGTCGATAAGACGTTAGATCAACGTTGAAACGACGTAATCATCGACGTTGTTTCAACGTCGTTGATTTCGACGTCGGATTTTATTTCCAATTCAACCAAATTTCAACGTTGTTTCAACGTGGTATATGGTCGGTTTGCGACGTTGTTTCGACGTTATTTCAACGTCATTGTGCCTGCTGGGAAAAGACAACTTATTCATATCCTATCCATAGTCTATTGTGTGACTACTTTCATTTGAACATTGTCTTTGACGTGCAAGATCGATTGATATCGGATTTGCTAATTTTTGTTTTCAGCTGTTGGTTAAAAATATCAAGTTTTATGGATCTTTTAGGGGTACACGGACTTCAGGTTATAATATACGTTTAAAACCTCTTAGTAAATAAAAATATCTAATAGGCATCCCTTTAAGCATGCATAATTTTTAAAAAAAAAAAACTTTAAATTTAACTTAAAATTAAAATATAAAAGCGGCCATGGCGCAATGGTTAGAGCGCTTGCTTTAGAAGCATATAAAAACATATGCAATCATGCATATGGATGATTGCATACAATGTTTTCTCCATATTATCAACACAAAGAAAGCACTTCAGTACCGTTTTTACCTCTCAGCTTTTTTTGTTGAAATTTAAGTGCACAAAAACAAAGAATAAAAGTAATTTGCTCTGTTTGTGTGACATATCCCGTAAAGTATTCTAACTAAGTAATTCTAAATCTTGTTTGATTTCCAAATCAGTCTCACTATCATCAGTAATAATAAGGAAAAAAAATCTTTCAGGTTATCTAATGGCTTTGGTGGATAGGGTTGTTATGATGAAGAAGAAATTGATCTCCAGCTAATCCATAGCTTTTACAAATAGAGACTAAGGAAAACACAGAAGTAAACTTATCATTGTGTTCCAGTAGTTTTCACTTTCAGTAAGGTCAAAATTAATTCTTATCTTTAACATTCGTTGAGTTATTTAACACACTTATTGCTTACTAGGCCTCCATCAGAACATACAAATATCTAATATTATACGAACAAAACCTTTTGAAGAAACTGTGATGTATAAGTTCTGCTTGATTATTTATAGATAAACGATTCATTCACAATAAATTTATGGTTGTTAAATAAACTTGCCAAAAAAGGTTGATATATTAAATAAAGGTTTTGATGTTTAAGAAAACAAATTTATTAGAATTGTCATCGTAAAGAGTTGCTCCTTTATGCTATTAATAAATACTCAAGTGCAGCGTATGTATTTTTGCAAATTATACATAAATTGAATGTCCTTTCTTAATATGTTGTCACTTTTTCTCTCATAAGTTGTGTTTGCTCTTCTATATTTATCATTTAAATTTGTGTAAGACTAAAATCAATGTTTTTATTATCCCCAGAAAAACAAAATATTTATGAGTCTGATGGCAAAGTTACAAGTAAAGTCACATGTTTAATCAGCAGTATATATTTTTAAAAATTTTGTTTGTAAGTAAATAACTAATGTAATCAAACAATAATAATATACTTTTTAAAATGTAATTCCAAAATTGTGTACCAATTATAAAAAAATGTAGTTGAAAAACTTTTTAACACTATTAGGAGACATTGTTGTCTATGAAAACAAATAAAATAAGCTATTTTTTTTTTGTTGTGGTATGACTGATATATGTTGTAATATATAACTTTTTGTCATTTAATTTTTTTCATATGACAATTTACTTTTTAACATTGTAATAAGATAAATGTACCACTTATTTATCAGAAAAATGTTGAATTATTTAAGAATAAATAGAAATAAAAAAAAGTTATAAATAATTAACTGAGTAGGCCTTTTAAACTTGAAAAACACACAGCTTTCTATTTGAAACATATTAATCCATTAATGTGAAAAACGTTATTATCATTTTATTGAATTCAGAAAATAGTGTACCAAGGTATTCAAGCATTTTAAAGTTACAATAAAATATCATGTAAAAATCACGGAACATAACAAATTTTGAAGGCCAGCGGTTGGTTCTAAAACTTTGTTGCCGTTTGGCAACAAAGTTTATTAAAGAGCTTAACACTAGTATAGAGTATAGACACAAAAAAAAAACGCACACAAAATAAATTTTTAGTAAATAGCTGTACTTCAATAAATTTTTCTTCGTCTTTTGGCGCCCGTAATAGCTTGACGCTCGGGTTCTAATATTTGTTTTGCCTTCTGGCAACAAGGCTCATTTAAGAGTTTAACACTAGTATAGAGTGAAACTTTAGAGAAAAAATACACACAAAATATATTTTATGGTAGCGCTTTAATAAATTTTTCTTCGTCTTTAGGCGCCCCTAACATTTTGGCGCCGAGGGCACAGATGTCCCTTTTGCCCCCTCTCTCAGCAACCCTGGGGAAGTGTGTAAATAAAAACATATTCACGAGATTACCAGAACAAGTTGTTAAACAATATTCCTTTAACTACCTTTATTAATTTTAACAATTTAAACAAGTAAATAAAATTTAAATAACAAAAATAAGTTGGAAAATTATTAGACTTATTTTGTTAAATATCCAATTCAAATCGGATTCCTTTCACGTTGTGTTTATTCAAAGTTGTTCAAATTTTAATGTTTTGTATGGTCATTCCCATGTGAAAAGTACATTGCGTCATAACGGCGAAGTACTTTTATTAATGTCATTGGACAAATCA